GCCAACAGCCTCTTTAGAATCCTCTGTTCTGGTGAAAGAAAAACAAGAAAAAAAGAAACGACAACAAAATCCCTGAGTACTCCAAGTGAAATGTGAAACAAAAAATCAGGGGGTGAGAATTGCCTGAAGGACAATCTCTGTGCTATACAGGAAGATTGCAGGAAAAGAAAGGAGCAGAGAGGGAAGGATGGAACATTTTGTCCAGACCGTGAAATTATCACCCTGGGTTTTGCCACGTTCCTGTCTCAGCAGGAGGAACTGAAATTCAGCATGGGAGCAGCAAATGAAACAGCAGTATCCGAGTTCATCCTAGAGGGTTTCCCAGAGCTTGGTCAAAGGTTGCAGCTGCTTCTCTCTCTGATCCTTCTGCTCATGTACCTGACAACAGTGACAGGGAATGCAACCATCATTTTCCTCGTGCGTGTGGATCACCACCTGCAAACCCCCATGTTCTTTTTCATTAGCAACCTGGCCTTCCTGGAAATCTGCTTTACATCCTCCATAAGCATCAAATTGTTTGCCATCCTGAGTTCTGATCAGAAAACCATCTCCCTGAGCAGCTGCTTTGCCCAATCCTATTTCTATTTTGCCCTGGGCGGCACAGAGTGTATCCTGGTCCTTGTCATGTCCTTTGACCGCTGTGTTGCCATCTGCCAACCCCTGCACTACGCTGCCACCATGCAGCCTCAGCTCTGCCTCGGCCTGGTTGTTGCTGCCTGGGTCATGGGCTTCACCCTCCTGAGCTACCACCCGCTCTTCCTGTCTCAGCTGTCCTTCTGTGGCTCCAACAGGATCCCCCATTTTCTTTGTGATAACTCCCCCTTATTCCAGCTGTCCTGCTCTGACACCAGCCTGCTTTGGAAAATAGACACTGCTTTCATATCATGTGTCGTGCTGGGTTCCTTAGCTTTAAACCTGGCATTTTACACCTGCATCCTTTTCTGTATTCTGCAGCTTCCAGCAGCCTCTGGGAGGAAGAAAAAAGCTTTTACTACCTGTTCTTCCCATCTCA